CAGTGGAGGTCCTAGAGCTCCATCTAGCCCATAGAGGGACCTCCAAGGACCTCAGTGGAGGTCCTAGAGCTCCATCTAGCCCACAGAGGGACCTCCAAGGACCTCAATGGAGGTCCCAGCACTCAAGGAGAACCTCAAGTTCAGGTTCCACCACCCAAAAAGGAGCAGAAGAACCTCAGCTGAGGTCCTACCACTCAACCCATCCCATAGAGACACCCCCAAGGACCTCAATGGAGGTCCTAGAGCTCAATCTAGCCCATAGAAGGACCTCCAAGGACCTCAATGGAGGTCCTACCACCTAAGGAGAACCTCAATGGAGGTCCTAGAGCTCAACCTATCCCATAGAGGGACCTCCAAGGACCTCAATTGAGATCCTACCACTCAACCCATCCCATAGAGACACCCCCAAGGACCTCAATTGAGATCCTGCCACTCAACCCATCCCATAGAGACACCTCCAAGGACCTCAATGGAGGTTCTACCACTCAATCTATCTCATAGAGACACCTCTAAGGACCTCAATGGAGGTCCTACCACTCAACCCATCCCATAGAGACACCTCCAAGGACCTCAATGGAGGTCCTACCACCCAAGAAGCACCTCAATGGAGGTCCTACCACTCAACCCATCCCATAGAGACACCTCCAAGGACCTCAGTGGAGGTCCTGCCACCCAAGAAGCACCTCAGTGGAGGTCCTACCACTCAACCCATCCCCTAGAGAGATCTTCCACCCTCCTGACCTCTTCTGGATGAGGTAGTCCTCCAAGATATCGAGGCAACGGACCATCTGGGAGAAGATGAGGACCTTGTGGCCACCAGCTTTGAGCTTCGGCAGGAGCTTGTCGATGAGGACCAACTTGCCGGCCGAGCGGACCATGGCTTGGAGATGGAAGTCCACAGGGACGTGGTGGTGACACGAGTCCCGGAACTCGGCCAAGATCTTCTCCTCAGCACCTAAAGGGTGGAGATAGGACCAGGAAGGAGGTGGCCAACGAGGTCTTCTCAACCAAAGAGGGCTCTGAGGAGCATCGAAGCTCCTTTAGATGGGCTCAAGGACCTTCTCCAGGGGGGCAATGGGAGTTCTATGGGGGTGATGGGTGGAGAAGCCCATCTCCAAGTGGCCATCAAGCATCGAAGCTCCTTTAGATGGGCTCAAGGACCTTCTCCGGGGGGCAATGGGAGTTCTATGCGGGTGATGGGTGGAGAAGCCCATCTCCAAGTGGCCATCAATGGATGGAGAAAACATTGGGATAGGGCTGAAGGACCCCAAGGACCTTCTCTGTGGTGGCCCTGGAGCTTCTATGGGGTGGAAACTCCATCTCCAAGTGCCCACCAAGTCACCAACGGATGGAGAAACCATTGGGATGGGGCTGAAGGACCTCAAGGACCTTCTCCATGGTGCTCTACGGAGATTGGAGATGGGCTCAAGGACCTTCTCCATGGGGCCAATGGAGGTTATGGGTGGAGAAGCCCATCTCCAAGTGGCCACCAGGTCGTCAAGGGATGGAGAAGGCACTGGGAGGGGGTTATGGTGACTATTGTGGTTGTCCATCAGCGCTGGAAGGACCTCAAGGACCTTCTCCATGGGACCAAAGGTGGTTCTATGGAGGTTATGGGTAGAGGAGCCCATCTCCAAGTGGCCACCAAGTCACCAACACATGGAGAAGCCATTGGGATGGGGCTGAAGGACCTCAAGGACCTTCTCCATGGTGCTCTACAGAGGTTGGAGATGGGCTCAAGGACCTTCTCCATGGGGCCAATGGAGGTTATGGCTGGAGAAGCCCATCTCCAATGGTCACCAAGGGCTGGAGAAGGCCTCGGAGGAGAAGGTGGCCACCCCAGCCCCTCGTGGTTCCTCACCATTGATGAGATAGGGATGGTTACAACACTTGCGGAGCTCCATCATGGTGTTGAGCAGGTTGGGCATGTTGGTGTGTCCTGCTCCTTTGGCCAAGAAGGAGAAGTTCTTCTCCAGGATGGCCCTATAATACTTCTTCTGGATGTTGGTGAGCTCCACCTCGATGATGGTCTCCTGCTTCGGAGCCAGGTTCTTCTCCACGTCCTCCTTCAAGCGCCGTAACATCATGGGCTTCAAGATGGCCTGAAGCTTCTGGACCTGGGTGGCCCCGAAGGAGAAGGTGAGACCATGGAGGAGATGAGCTGGAGGGGGTGGAAGGAGCTCCCCATGGACCTCACCTGCTCCTCGGTCTTCAGGTCACCAAAGTCCTTGAGGAACTCGGCTTCCGAAGGGAATTGGGAAGGTTCCAGGAAGTGCAGGAGGCTGAAGAGCTCCTCCACCGTGTTCTGCAGAGGGGTCCCCGTCAGCAGCACCTTGTGCTCCTGGGGGCAGAAGGACAAGGAACCCCCGGTAGATGCCGGCAGGAGCCCGGAAAGACCTTCAGGCCCAGCCCCACTGGGATGTATTGAGGCCAAACCCTGCTTAGATGCCACCAGAACCCCCTCAGATGCCACC